ATCACTATGACCTTGAGGGCGACTGTTTCAATTCTGAATCCATCTCATATCTTGAAAAGTAAGGTTTCGTCCACATCAGTGATCTGATTCCACACTGCATTCTTGTGAAATATATCCAATTAGTTCACAAACTCTGAATGTGCTCCACTCTGGTGAAACAGATGTTAACAACAGTAACTTGAAATGTTACATTAAACTTGCTTTACACAGGCTGGGTGTGGCGGCTCACACCTGCAATCCCAGCACTGTGGAGGCTGAGGTGAGAGGTTCAAATCCAGCCTGAGCAAATTTAAGTAACAGCGAGAGATCCTGCCTCAAATTTACAAAAGTGCTGGGGATGGGAATGCAACTCAGTGCAAAGGCTCTGGGTTCATTCCCTAGTACCACAAAAAAACAAGCAAACCAAAACCTTGCTGTACACAGGGTGTGGCAAGTCATCAAGATGTTCTCTTCCTTTCCTAAACTGGGTGTAGCTGGTGCTTATCATCCACACGCACTCCAGCTCCTTCCTTGGGCAGGAGTGACTGGGACTCCAGTTCTTGCCAGAACTCAGGCTAATTTGAGTGTCTGCCCCTGGACCAGTGCCCTACTGTGCCCTTTCCGCTCTAGAACCTGAAACATCCCGACCTCCACCCAGCAGGTGAGGACACTGCTCTGGCCTGGGGTGGCAGAGCATCAGGAAGGAATAAATGTGTCCCTGAGTGACTGAACTCGAGTTACAGGGTGCCAGTTTCTTCTCTTGGGACCTTTTGTTTTTGTTTTTTTTGGTACTGAGGATTGAACTTGGGACCTTGCGCTTGCAAGGCAGGTGGCGGAACCACTGAGCTAAATCTCCGGCCCTCAGGGCCTTTTCATTGTTGAGCGTCTGCTATAGCAACGTGGCCTCATTCTAACCAGACATGCACTGAGTGTGGAAGAAATTTTTCAAAGGGAGAAAAAAATAACTGAATTGCAGACTTAGATGCTATTCTCTGGATTCACTGAGAAATCTGTTACTTGCCTTCACATTTTTGTGTGTGTGGGGGTACTGGGGATTGAACTCAAGAGCCTTCTCATTGAGCTATAGCCCAGTCCTTTTTATTTTTATTTTATTACTTTTGGAACTGGGGATTGAACTCGGGTCTTTGCACTTTCGAGGCAGGTGGCGGAACCACTGAGCTAAATCCCCAGCCCCAAGTCCTTTTTATTTTTAGATAGGACTTCACTGTTACCCAGGCCGGGCCCCAAACTTGCAATCCTGCTGCCTCAGCCTCCCAGTAACCAGAATTCCAAGTGTATGCCACCACAACTGGCTTAAAATGCACATTATTTTTAAATGCCTCACAGGGTAGCTCTATGCCAGATATAGCTTCCCCCATGCAAGGGGTGTATTTATCCTTATGTGTTTTCTCAACCAGTGGACACTAAAAGTATGCATGAAAGTGTGAAACAAACATCTGAACAGAGACATCCCTCATCATCATGCAAACTAGAATCGCGGTGAGATATTTCACATACATTAGAACGGCTGAAGTTCAAAGTGCTGTCCAGGATATGGCAGTGCAACTCTGGCTGGTGCAGGCTAAAACGGCACATACAGCACTCTGGAAAACACGCTGGCTTTTCTTACAAACACGAACGTACCTACGGTATCGAGAAATGAAACTGTGCGTAAACAAAGAACACTCACAATGCTTTTTTCTACAGTAGCCCAAAGGGCCAATGACCCGAATGTCCTCACAGAGGAGGAAGGCTAAGGAAACTGTGTCTTTATGCAGTGGAAGACGCCCGAGTAGCAGAGATGAGCCCCAGATACACTTGGCAGCGTGGACGAGCTGCAGAGGGGCTGAAGGACAGGGTCAGACATGACAGCAGAGAGTACGCTGTGGAAGCCATGCCTGAGAAAGTCAGGTAAATGAATATACAACAGGAATCAGAGAAATGGGAAGAAGAGGGGAATGAGTTCATTGGGAAGAGGCACCAGGAAACTCCTTGGAATTAAAAAAAAAAATTAAGGGTTATACAAATTACACAGATGTCAAAAATGACTGAATGGCAATCCTAAAATCTGCACTTTCCAGTCTACATATCGTATCTGAATACAAACCTTTTTACCTTAACATGATCATATGAACAAATTTGACTCATCAGAGGGCTCTCTGCAGCTTGTAACAGGCCTGCTTGAGGTATGGCGACTTCTCTCTGATTAGAACTGCCTGATCCTGTGAGCGCTTCACTGTAAAACCTGAATTGCTCTTGAAGTCACTATTTTCTGATGAAATGGTTCTTAGGTTTTTCAATCCTAAATTTCTTCTTCAGTGAGAGCATGATTTGCCACGTTCTATTTGTTGTACATTGGAACTCAGAAGTCACCCTAAAGAGAATCTAAGCACTCAGGTCTTCAGATATAAACTGACTCACCTGGGTTCTACCTTATTTGAGAATTACATTATGTAAAACTCACGCATTACCATCTTTCTCAAACATTAATGCCTGAACAAAGATAACAGCGGAACTTTTAAAAGCACAAACTTTATATCTACAGAGCATTTCCAAATTCAAAAGTGCTTGGCTAGCTTTTTCTAATGATGCAGTGTCTAGCTGAAGTGTGCTGGGCCTCCCTGCTGGTGCAGTTCTATGATAAGACCTTTTCATAGGAGCTCTATTGATGATTTATAAAATCTGGGTATTCAAAAAAAATTTTTGAGTACTCAAAAAACTTACACATTAAAAAATGCAATTAGTGGGCCGGGGATTTAGCTCAGTGGTTTCGCTGCCTGCCTCGCAAGCGCAAAGACCCGAGTTCGATCCCCGGTACCAAAAAAAAAATGCAATTAGTGAAAGGCACAAATGATATTCCTGCACTATAATGGAGGGTTATTGTGGTAAAATTTGTTTTTTTGGGGTACCGGGGATCAAACTTGGGACCTTGCACTTGTGAGGCAGGCAGCAGAACCGCTGAGCTAAATCCCCAGCCCTATTGTGGTAAAATTTAACTTGAAAGAAGTTAGGTAGAGCTTGTTACAATAGGTAGAGAGAGTCTTAAAATACCTAAATAGAAGAGAAACACTTTGTTATGTAGGAAAATTTTTATTTGATAAATACAACTTCATAAACTTTAAAAAAATACTGAGTACTGTACAATAAGTATACTACAGTTACTGACAATGAAGAGAATTTTTAAAGGATTACATTAGACAGCCACAGTATCTGAGGTCCAAAATTTTAACTAAGTATTGCTACATATTTCCAGCTACTCATTTTTCATAAAAATCTAACAATCACCACTATTACAAACATATCAGTTATGATTTTTTGTAGGAATATCATTCAAGTTATTATATATATCAAACAGCATTTTAATAGTTTTATTTTTATGAAAATATATGACTCATTTTAAGATAGAAATAAAGATGTCTATAAAGGGGGACCAAAATAAATAAACATGTTTTACATAAAACTCTTTGGTTCATTAGTTTTTTCAGTACCTGCCTCTTAAAAAATTCCCTGTAGTCTTACAGGGAAAACACAAACACGAATGATTCCTTTCCCTCAGTCTCCAAGATTTCCAGAGTAGTGAATTAATTTATCCCGGTATTGGGGATCAAACTCAGGACCTTCTGCTTGCCAGGCAGGTGCAGTGCCCCTGAGCTACATCCCCGGCCCTTGAGTAGTGAATTTTAAACTTTCAGCTCTTCACTGTAAATTTTAGTGGCCTCAGTTCCTCCCTATTGAGTCTCAAGCTTATCAGACAAGGTCAGTTCCACCAGCTTCTGGAGTGGAAGTGACCTCAGTCTGGGAACTACGCTGGAGAGCAGGCCTTCCCCTAACTTCCTACCCAGGATAGCGCCAGGGTTGGGCTGGTCCTGGGAGCCTCCAGACACCACAGAGCCTCAGACCTTGAATCCCCCCACCCCGAAGGAAACCCTGCAGCGGTAGCTCTCCTCGGGCCAGGTTTGTCAGAGCCGAGCCGGGTGCTGAGTCACGGGCCAGAGCAGCAGATGGGCAGCTGCGGATGCACGGTGCCTGTCCTTATCTGCAGGGGCAGGGCCTCCTGACTAGGCAAGGCAAGCATGGGGGGCGCAGACCTGAGGCCACTGGATAACTAGCAGTGACACACGGAGCGCCTACTCTGGTTCTGGCAGATAGAAGTAAGTTACTCATCAGTGTGTACTTTCCAAAGAAGTTGAAAGAAATAATGCAAAAGGGGAAGCTTTTCTGTGATTCCTGGTCATGGAAGAAAGTTTTATAACATGAATATGAGTACTAGAAAACTACTGAAGGTTTTGTAAATTGCAGTATTACTTTCATAAATAAATAAAAGAAAATCCTTCTCTTAAAATGACAGGATATCCTTTCTTTAAAAAGGGAGTAAGTTTTGAACAATAAAGCAGGAGAGGCGCGTTGGGGGAGTCAGAGTGACTCACTTCGGGGCTGGGACTGAGCTCAGGGCCTCACACACACCATGCAAGCCTCCAGCATGAGTTACACCCTTGGTCTTATTTTAAAAATGTTTGTTTTTTAAAAATAAGTGAGGCTGTGGATGTAGCTTAGTGGTGGTGCCTGCTTCGTATGTTCAGGGCTCTGGATTTGATGGCCAGCACCAGGAAGAAAAAGCCCTCCTTACTGGCTGCAGTGGTGAATACAGACGTGCGCGCCACACGTGAGGCCTGGGGAGGCCGGTGGGCTGCTGCCTGTAGTCCTCTCCTGTTAGTGGTCCGTTCATCTGACGGCACATGAACACCGTTAAGGCAGATGTAACGCGGGACCACTGATGGTCATTTTCAGTGTTTAGGTAGTCCAGGCTGGCCTCAAACTTGATTGTCCAGCTTTTGTCTGAGTGCTGGGATTTCGGGTGTGTGCTACCATGTCTGGCTGTCATTTTGTACATGTACGCTTCAAAAGAATTCTGAGAGAAAGCAAATTTCATATTACCCTCTATGAAACTATTCTACTGAATATTTCTGCAGTTTCTGCTCTGGAACATGTAACAGTGAGTGTACACAACATATATTATACTATCCCCCTTTCATGTATTTCCAAAATAACTGATCTTTCTAAACCTAACTGGAATATCCAAGAAAGGCTGTTTATGAAAATTAATATTTAGCCTGAAATGGATAATGGGACATCCTTGCATTATTATTATTATTATTATTTTTGTACTGGGGATTGAACTCAGGACCTTGTGCTTTTGAGGCAGGCGCCGGGACCATTGAGCTAAATCCCTGGTCCCATCCTTGCCTTATTTAAGGACAAATGGCAGATAGCAAGCAAACAGCACACCAGCAAACACAGATGAAGTCATAATTCCTGCTGTCATTCTTTGTCTACCAGCCCAAGTCTCAAAAGTGGGAAAGAAATGAAGAGTTGTACAATGAATCTCCAAAACGGAATTACATCCCTAAGGGACAATTTGGCAAAACTTCATTTAACTGTTTTCTTTTTGGTACTGGGGATCGAACTCAGGACTTTGTGCTTGCGAGGCAGGCAGTGGCACCACTGAGCTAAATCCCTGGCCCTTAACTGTTTTCTTATAATTTTTATTTTGTATATGGTCATTATATACTGTAGATAGTCATTCTCAAACTAATGATCATGTCCAGGTCTTAAAAAAATTACTTTTAACAAAATAAATGACAACACAAATTTGAGATGGAAACTAAGTTTTGAGATGCAAGGAGTAAACTAGACCAGCATGTACGTGATTAGTCATTCTTAGCATTTTAATTTATTGCTGCTAAAAATTTAGTATTTTAGACTTTTTCATTTACATTTCATAGCCACACCTGACAGCATACCTTGTAATGGGACACTGGGCAGAATTAACCTTACTGTAGTGTGCGATAACTTAGGTAACATGCTAACTGAAAAACAGCAAAATTCTTAACAGAAATCCTTTATCCTAAACTTTAGCTTACAGAAAGGCAGGAGTAATTCTAAGTTGGTCACAAAGAGGGGCTCTCCTCTTACTATTGATCTAATGAGCCATATTTTGATTTGTATAATTAAAACTATTTGCAATATACAAATACTGTCCAAACTTGTTTTTTATTGATATAGCTGAACTTTACAACATTGTCATAAAATACTATTATAAACAAAGCTTTTGGATAGAGAGGAAAAAACCAAATTTATATTAGCCAGGTTAAAGCATGCAAAAGAGCCAATGATGAAAACATTAAATTAATAATATAATGATCTCTTTTTTTTTCTTGGTACCAGGGATCGAACTCAGGACCTTGTGCTTGGGAGGCAGGTGATGGAACCACTGAGCTACATCCCTGGCCTGTAATGATCTCTAATCTACCCACTATAGCTTCTTTATATTTGGGCAAAAAATTTAGTAAACATCACTTTGAAATTTGGTGAACAGACCTGATTTCTGATTCTATAACAGACCCTTTGCATTTACACTTTACTGGCACAGCGTGTTTAGAGAAACTTGGTACTGGCATCAATTTACTACCCACACTGCAGTCAATAAGGGGAAATTTGTTCTCCTAGTTTGCTCTGTGAACTTAAAACTTACTAATGAATTAACGATACAAATCACTGAGGTACCAAAATTTCTTAATATTCACATTCACTTTTCCCATGAAAAGCTTTAAGTATAACTCTAATAAAAAAATAGAGTTCTCAAGGCAAACTTTCAGCATAATTTACAGAAGCAGATTTAAATAGAAGTCAATAACTAATCTAATCCTAAAAAATACACTTAAGTAGGAGTGATCTCAACGACTTCAGCAACATGCTGAAATGCCATTAGGAGTCCCATGTGCCCAGGGATAACCCAGACAAAAAGAGTGAAACTCTCTTTATTCACAAACTTTGACATGTTCATATTCAAATTAAGGGGAGAAGAGAGGGGTTCATGTTAATGTTTTCTGTTTGTTTGGAGTGGGTCTGAACTACTCCAGAGATTTCAGAGTGATTTCAGGGCTAGAGTGGCCATTTATAGGACAATCAGCCCTGAATTTGAGGGAAGGAGGTGAAATCGCTCTACAAGTACTACTGCCCCTTTAGCAAGTAGATGAGTCCATTGTGGAGAGAGTCAGGACGCTCCTGTCGTTGGTACAGAAAGGATCCGAGGCACTCCATGATCTAGAGTAACAATAAGAGAAAAGTTTGGCTCACCAGGGCCTATGTTTTAATTGAGAAAAAAACTGAGTCTTAAAATTTAGTACTGAAATACAATTTAAGCTTTAAAATAATCACTGATTCATTTTTAAATGCTAAAGAGAAATTCTTCACACTAGCATTGAATGCCCATTCTATTTACATTTTACAAAAATGGGAAAATTATGCTCTAGTTACCATGTAAAAATATTAGCCAAAATGCAGATATTCTTTAGCATTAAAATATTATCTGTAGGTAGTAAAGCATGAGATGCTTTTAAAATCTTAATAATCCAAAAAGAAGTATGTTATTAGGACTTACACACATTCAGTTCTACTGAAAAGCAACTAGGCTATATGTTGACATTACAGAAAATCCCCCTCCTAAATAAAATTCCCACTCACCAAAAGGCTTGGAATGAATAGCATGTTCATATTATTGGTCACACTTTTTCAGCTACAAATTCTGTGCTAGATGTTTCAGCCTCATTAGCTTGAATGAAGTAAATGGTTTACTCAAAGATATCAAAGACACTTGCAGGTCACTAGCATTTTCACTCAACTAAGAAAAGGTACATACTGGTTTGGAAAAGCTAACTACTATCTGAGTGAGAAGGCCCTTAAGCAAGTCAATATATAATACTTTCTTTGCAGCTATAAATTTAAATTAGCTTGAATTAATTTAAACTAAAATAACTCATGACCAAAAGTAGCCTGCCATGCTTAAAAAAAGTCTGAGTAACTCAAGGATAATATTAAGATCACCAAGGAAAAGATGGCTTTACTAGGAGATTAACAGTACTGTGCAGTAAATATGTTTCATGTAACTTCTGCCAGGGTGGACACTTTCCCTGAAGAGGTGCCAGAGAAAGAGGCTGGCATTCAGAAGGATACACTGGTCTTCACCAAATATCCTGTTTTTTAGACTTGGTATCTGGGGTAGTTAAGTTTGAATCCATGAAGTAAGCAGTCACTGTGAAGTTTGGAAGGGAAACATTACAGATTTGGCTAAGCTAGAGCAACTGCACTAGTTCTTTGATTTTAGTGGCTTCCAGAAAAGCCTGAACATCATGTACCTCAGTTTAAGAAAGGGCTGTTCACTTCTGTCTCTCTAGCACCTGGAGCTGTGTCTGGCATGCATTAGGCACCCAGTAGTTGCAGAATGAATGAAAATAAGAATATGGAGATGTCCTACACAGTAAGCATTTATGGGGGAAACTATGTTTTCAACTGTAACTTGTCAACACCGTAATTATCTGGAGTCAAATGTCAAAGTCCAAACTGCCAATATTTCATATTAGTTTTTCCCCTCCAACCATTGCTTACACTGAAGAAAACTTATTAGGTTTTCCTTTATGTCTTATCTTTTCAAAGGACACATGTGTGCTCAATGTTTTTTTTTTTTTTGGTACCAGGGATTGAACTCAGGATCTTGTGCTTGCAAGGCAGGCAACAAACAGAACCACTGAGCTAAATCCCCGGCCATCTTGAATATCATTTTTGACAGAGTATTAAACACCTGAACTGCATATTAATTCCTTTCTATTTAAAAGGTAATTTTGATTAGAATAATGTAACTATTAGTATAACACATACAGAAAATCATCACTGCAATACAGCTCTTCAGGGTACAACATGGCATATCCTTTATGGGGCACCATGGTGCTCCCTCTGAAGCTGAGCTTGCAGTATGGCATACTCCTTTGATAACATCAAATAATACAATATAAGTACAATTTGTGTGTCTAGATAAGAATTCAATCAGCAGAGAAATCTGTCATATAAAATCCCCGTTGTACTTCTCAAATGATGACCATTACTTTTGTATGTCAAAGGAACAAGCAGCCAGGGGCTTCTGCATCATGTAACAGAGGCCTCAGATTTATCCCATTCTCAAATTAGACATGAAACAGAAATGCAGAATAGAAGCTGCTTGAAAATCTAAATGGAAACACCAAACATATTTCACAAATATAATTTTCTGCAGAAAACAAATTTCAACATACCAAAATGACTATGTCAGTTTAACTATACTGTTCATACAGCCCTTTGAAAAGCACCAAGTAGCTCTGTATAGTGTATGATTTTATCTCCTAGAAAACTATAACAGTAACAGATCTGAAAACTTTAGATTCATCTAGAGAAAAATGACAGAAGTCATTAATAATATAACCCGAAATGTTGGACAGTGCTGCAAAGGCATTTATAATCTGTCAAATATGATATTAATTACTAAGTTAAACATTTTATTAGAAAACAAATCTTAGAAAAGAATTGGTACACTTGTCAGTGAAGAGCCGCCTTCCGGACTCGCCAGCCAGCGCAGTGCTGCCTGGGGACACGAGGCGGCACAGACAGAAGGCTGCGAGGGTGGCAGAGGCAGAGCACTGCCATGATCTACAACAGAGACAGGCACGTGGGGAAAGCAGAAAACATTTCTGGCTCTTTAAAATTAACCTAGGTTTTAAATAAATCAGTAGCGAAGACGTACATTGTCATTAAAGAGGAATTTATGTTGAATTAGAAATTTTTAAAATTCTGTAGAAGTTCTATCATAGTATCCTAGTCTATTTCCGACTTTGGTCTGTGTGGGAAAACTGTGTTCTTAGCTAAAATAACACGGTAAGTTAGATCTTTCTGGAACATCTGAGAAACTCACTAGCCTAGGTACATGAAAGAGCTACTTTTCTATAGTGTATTTTATAAGTGTAAAAATATAACAAAATCCCAATAAATTTAACTGTTCACAGTAACCCTTTCATGTGGGATGAACTGACTACAAAATGAAATTATGACATCATGGAAATACTTTGGATCACATGTTATAATGAGATCAGAAGAAATGGGAATGGAAACCATAGGTATTATGTCAACATAAAAATGCTATTTATCAATTCAGTTGTACCATAAAGACATGGCCACAGCCAAAAGTAAAGTGACAGCCAAGAGTTCACCAGTAAAAGCTACCCACATTTCAATACACGAATGATATCATATTCATCATTTTTTTTAAAACACAAAGTTCACCAACCACTGAAACAATTCTTTTGCCAATAGGTAAAAGTAGTGCTCTCTCCCTCCTTGCTCCTTGCCTCGAGGAAGGAAGCTTTTCTAAGCAGCGGCCCAGAGAGAGTGGTGCTGCCCATGTGGCACCTTGGGGAGGACGGAATCGACGTCTGTCTGAGGCCATTGTGACCCTCATGGACGCCAGGGAGACGCTGCTTTCATCTTGTGAATATGATATCATTCACCCAACCAACACCAAACGGAGAGAAAGTGAGTTCTTATTCCGTAGTTTCCCTCAATAATGATATACACCTTGGGCAAACATATGGAGAAATATGAAGAAATGAATCCATTTCACCTTTAAATGATTTTTAAATGGTATTTACCAATAACTGTCTTTTTCTGGTTATGATTCATAAAAGGAAACTATAATAAATCTGATTCAAGAAATAGATTTGGGAGGGGACAAAACTGCTAAGATTGTTCTGATCCATAATTTACTTAATAAATGCCAAGTAAAAGTAAAAAATCACAATTCATTTCAAAACTTCATTACAGATATTAAAAAGGGTCAGGAAACAGAAATACAGCCTTCTGTGTTTAACCCTGAATGACTGGAAAATATACATGAAGAATAAGAAAAGCAAAGACTTCTGATTTTACTGTGTATGGAGATTACTTTGTAAAGACAAAAAGCAGAGGAAAAATCAGCAGAAAATGAAACAGCAGTATAATTTAAAAAAGAAAGTTATACAAACCAAGAAAAAGTACCACATACACACTCCTATCCACCACATTTGAGAGTGATTATAAAACAGGATTGTTTTGTTCACTGGATGCAGTCTCTTCAAAGGTGCTTTTTCTTCCTTTGTAAGTGAAAGTACCCCACCCAAAGCCATGAAGTGAAGTAAGTCTACCATCAGAGTGCTAACAAATAGCAGACTTCCTCCTTCAGTTGGTAAAACCAGCTGCTGATTTACTGGGCACCTAAAGCTGCAGGTTCGTCCTGTTCCAGGTTACAGGACGCTCATCTGCAGCAAAGGCTACTTAGAGAAATGTCACACCTGCTGATGTGGGTGGGGCTACATCTCCCTATAGCTCGTTCCAGCATTCTTCTAACAGATGCACATGCTGCTTCTCCTTCTGGGAAACAGCACATGGAGTCCAAGCACTTGATACTTGAATTTGTTTGAGTAAGCTGGAAGGATTAAAGCAGAAAAAAATTAGTTATGGATGGATCTGGACTTCTAAACAGTACTAAAATAATGACAACCAGCACTTTAAAGCCAAAAGTAATGTATATAAATATACATGTTTTCTATAATATGGAAATGGATGAGGCTTTCACAGAATGTAGTCATACAAAAATATTTAAAAACCTTGCATCCTAATTACAAGTCTTGTGAAGGATTTTAGTCTTTTATTATGGTCAAACTGGTTTACGTCAACTACTCAAACTTAGTGAATTCTAATTTTTCTTGGAGTTTTTGTTTATGTGAAATTGCTCCTGCAGTTACAATAAAGATGTCTAGCAATTGAGGAGTGTAGAGTATGAACTATGGAATACTGGGAAGTAACAACCTGGCGGAACCTAAACTTCAAGAAAAATAACAACAGCAGCAAACACTTTATGCAGTGTTTACTATGAGCCACTCTAAGCACTCTACATTTATCTACGCCATAGTTATTTTTGACAAAAGCATTGTTACTTTATTCGTTATTTTAAATTACTAAACAACTATTAAGTGCCATCCATGCTTGCAATCAGCTTGTTTTTAAAAGTAAGCTGGTGGCACATGCATTAAAATTTATTAAACAGCTTTATAAGTAGTACTATTTTTTAGTTTTTTTTTGCAGTACCGGGGATTGAACTCAGGACCTTGTGCTTGAGAGGCAGGTGGCGATGCCACTGAGCTGAATCCCCGGCCCTTAGAAGTAGTACTATTTAAGTTGAATTAATTTCTCAAATATGCAAGATTTATACTTATTCATGCATAAAAAGCCCAGCAAGGTAACATAATTCTATACTACTAACAATTTTAATTGTGTTTAAATGAGGAAACAAAAATGGTTCGAGCACATTTCAATGAAGCCCAACCCTGTTTTTGCTACTCGAGAGTGCTTCTACAGTTTGCCAGGGTTGTCATATAAAAAAACAAGCCTAAGTCATTTTGCTTTACCTGTTTGACATCCTACATAACAAATCTTTTGAAGATAATAAAGGAAGGAGAGGATGAATTCCAAATGAATTCAGGAGAGGGTTCGGTTCCAGAGGTTGGGAATCACGGTGTGTCACAGGGAGCATGGCAACAAAGGATCTGTTCACAATGGACAGACGTGAAGCACCAGCGACTGGTGAGGGCCTGAGACCCAGCCTCGGAGCAGTGTGAGATGAAGCATGGCTCCTGCTTGGCAGCTGCCAGGCTGCACCAGTGCTGCAGGATTTGCTAAGCACTGAGAAAGAATGAAACCTCGCATGTTCTTTCATTAAAAAACCTTTGGTTTAGGACCATGCAGGGCACTGTTTCTTAAATTGATTTGTGAGATGTTTATAGACATCTCGCTAAAAAAAAAAAAAGCTCTATGGCCAATGAAGTTTGGGAAACACAACTCAATGAAGCTCTAAACAGACTTAAGTAAAAGACTGTCAGAAAATCAGGTTCATGGCCACTCTGCGAGGGAAGCCTGACCTACCATAATTCTCCAACGTGTTTGCAATACCCCCTCTCATCTCCATGCAGCAGAAAACACTAATCTATACCACAAGGGACATTAATATTCAGAATGGCCTGGGAAATGCTGCTTTAGGTAACAGGATTTCATCCGTTTCCCAGTTTCGTCTCTGGGCCCCTGGGCTCATTTCTCCTAATCTTCCATTCACCCTTGGCAGGAACCAGGCCTCCTGCGCTCCCACATGGTCAAACACACGAACACCTCCTTCGGCCACAAGGGCCCTGTCTACCTGGGCTGCAGGTGCCCTCTCTGCCCTATTTCCATGCCCCTGTGCTGTCTCCCCCTCAGCCCACCAGGTGGAGCACGTGTCAGTGCTGCCACCAACCAGGGCCCCAGTGTTGGCTCCTACATGAAGGTCCAGTTTAGGAAAGTTCCTTACTCCTTTCAATTCTGAGTTGTCACTTTCTCCATGCTCTATTCCACAGCTTGTCAGCATCACTTTTTCCGTGGCACAAGCACTTAAATCCAACTTATGTGTTTGCTGAGCAAGGCCCTGTGCCAGTACTCATCGGCAAGCACAACCTTGCCTCAACCTCAGTAAAGTGAAGACAGAGGTGGGAGAGAAGACAAGTCAGAAACACAGGCTAATACCAGTTATATTCATGGAGTGCTTACTATGTATGTGCTGGGTGATTCTCATGGATCATCTCATTTAATTAAAATTGACACAATAGCTCTATGTTATAGGCACTATAATCACCCTCATTTTGTAAGGAAACAGAGGTCGAGCATTTGTTCAGGGTCATTCACTCAAGCTGGGGGTTCAGTTTTATTTTTTTTTAAATTCCAGAGCTCCAAACTCTTTACCAAGCCTCTATCCTGCCTTATTCTACCATGGTCTGAGATAGACTACTCAGAAAAGACAAGCGAAAGCTCAAACCCAGATGTTGTTGGTAGGACTAGTGGGAGGGCATGAGAGATTTAACGTAAAAAGATGGCATTTCAAATATATGTTGGAGGAGAGATTGAAAGGGACTTACTGAAGATGTGACCCAGGTCACAGCCCCAGGTGCCCATGGGTCTGGACCTGACTTTAGGTCATTTTCCTGCTTTGCATTCACTGTAATACTTAAGGGCAAGTATTAAAATGTGGACAATCCAGGAGAGAGAGAGTAAGCATCATGAAATGTCAAATACATTACAAAGAAACGACTCTTCAGATTACCTTCCAAACTAAACAAAACCTATTTCCTTTTCTTTTACTAAGTAGGAAAAACAAACAAACAAAAAAACAACCCAGCTGCTTTGAAAATGCTGGAAGCTGGCTAAGTGTGTTTCTGGAAAGCTCTCTACAGAAAATGCTCTACTGTTTTCTAGCAAACCTCCAAGCGCTACCACTTTCCCACACACACGTCTTTAATATCCACGACCTGGGAGCTCAGCCAGAGAACACGTAGCCACAGCTGCCAGGAGAACTGGGGTGGAACATTCAGTCTTGTTTTACTCAAGGAAAGGGGAGGGATTCACAGCACTTTGGGAAAAGACTAGTTATAAACACTAGAAAAGAAAAGAAAAGTAAACTAATTATATATAGAGCCTACTTGGTGGCACCAAGAAAATAACTTTTAAGTTACCAAATTTTATTTATTGCTAAACCTCACTCTCTAGCACACTTGCTTCCCAGGAGCAACCACAAGGAGGGCTGCCAAGTAAATGTCCATGGAAGTCAACATGACTATGCATGGCCAGTAAGAATGGTCACAATCCTTACAGAACTTGCCTTCTGAAATAAAGCTAGGCTCACTCTTTTTTTCTTGGTTTTGTTTTTTTGAGACAGGGTCTCACTTCGTAGTTCAGGCTGACCTTGGACTCACTACGTAGCCCCGGCTAGCCCTGCCTCAGCCTCCCCAGTGCTAGGATTACAGGTGTGCACCATGCCAGGCTGGGCTCACTGCTCTTATTTCCATTGTTTTCATATCGATGATGGCAAATACTCAGTTCCTTCTGTAGCTCACTAAATATCTTCCTCAAATCTTATCAATGTTAGATAATTGTCTTACTTTTTTTTAACCTATGCCACTTTATGACATCAAATAAAGTTTTCTTAGGGTTAGATAAGAACTGTAAAACTATTAACTGTATTAGTATGTTTTTCCCTTGAAATTGTTTTATATGCTGGATGCTCAGTGTAAACACCCTGTCTAATCTTAAACAAGTTACTTGGAAAGAAGCCTTAAACTCCAATTATGAAAAAACAAAGAAAACAAGAAAAAAGTCTGGGTTCACCAAAATGTTTTTCTTTTCAACGTGAAATCAAAAGTCATCAAGTATTACATTGAGTAGCAAGCATGGCTGAGGATCACACACTCCCTACAGCAAGTCAGCATTTCCTCCCTGCAAGCCTCCGGAGAGGCTGCTGGAGTTGGCCTGGGTGGCTTCAGAGTGAGGGCTTCTCCAGACCGAGCTCTCTAACTCCCTTCCTCCTTCCCTCCCCCGAGGTACAGCAAACAACAATGTGAAATGCTGAAACCCTGAAAGACAGTTATCCATACTTCCTTACTGTCTTTTCCAGCTTTCTAGAGGTGAGGTGGTTTCTGAATGTGTTGCCTAAACTCAACAATGAAAATAAACCTAAGAATTGTATTAGGTAAATTGGTTTTGATCCTTTGGCTTATCCCTAGTCAGAGGCTAGGCTGGACTCCCTTTATTTTAATGATGTACTTATTCATCTGGTTATGCAAATAACATATGACTAGGAGTTTATAGTTCCGGGAAAGTTGAGTATCAGTATCTGTGAAAATTTAAGTACTCCTAATTTAATGGTGAGGGTAAACGGTATCTGGATAGCTGGTAAGGGAGAACATTCACTTGTCATTCTATACAAAACTAACCATTAGTGGTAGAATTTTTTATTCTACATAATTACTACCTACCAAAATATTCTGCATATCCTAATGAGGTTTAGTAGTGATTACAGTGGATTTCTCAAAAGGGGAACAATGAAGCCATTATCAATTCATATTTTTATTACAGATACAACTATGAAAATTTATTAAAAGAACTAAGTTTGTTAAATATTAATTAACATAAAATTACTAAATCTAAGCACTCATTTGAGTATTTAGCTCAAGAGGTAGACTTAGATAAGTAACTGTGTATCTACATTAAAATGTATAAAGTAATTCACAACTTCAAAGGGGAAAATGATTTCAGAAATAACAGATTCAGTATATTTTCAAAGGGAGTAATTTCTTGAATGTAAGACAACAGGATGTGAGAATACCTTACTAGGTTAGAATATGAGGTGAAGAATGATTTATTACTGAACTTAAAAGGAAGATTAGTAAGATATTCAGGGATAGACAATATAAAAATGTGAAGACCACAACAAAGGAAAAGAACTAAACCAAAAGAGCGTATGAGACGGGGTGAAGGACACAGTGAAGGAAGTGGACATGTCAGGCCAGCCCCCCGCGGCATGTCCCGGCACGAGAGGCAGCAGGCAAGCCCCGGCAAGGCCCCACG